ACTCCATCGCTGCATGACGTCCGATTTTTCTGAGAGGACGTCATTGGTTCTCGAAAGCACTTTGTTCATTCTTAAGGCTGTCGCACCACTCCGGGACCCTCCAACCTCTTTCCAGAAGAGTTTGGAGTTTTCCTTAAAGTTGTGCGACAACCTCTCGTCCGCTTCTGTTCTACACCTTTCACGTACTTTCTCAATCAATGTTTTCGCATGAACTTTCTGCAGCTTATATCTTTCTTTCATCTCCTCTCTCATATGCTCATCGTTACTAGAGGTCAAGTAGTCTAACCATGCCTTTTTCTTCTTTTTTACAGCTTCTCTCACTTCATCATTCCACCATGCATCTCTTCTTTTACTACTACCTCTTTTTGTCGTTCCACATACTTCTTCCGCTGCACTTACCATTCCATCCCTAAGGTTCTGCCATATTCTCTCCACACATTCTTTCCTGCCATCGATGGTGTCAAGCTTTTCGGCTACCCTCGTGTGATATTTGTCCCTAGTATCCGCTTCCTGAAGCTTCCAGCTTCGGATGCGGATGCGGATTCGATGCGAGAAGATGTGTCGTAATTTCTCGAACGCTGCCCAGCCGAGTTGAATCCGTCGATTGACCTCTTGGTCGAAGTTGGACTTACCAAGTCAGACTATTTGTCCCAGGTAAACGTACTCGTCTACAACTTCGAGCTTAGTGCTCCCATCAACTACCGGCATTGGTGTGACATGGACATTAAAAATGATCTTTGTTTTGCCCATGTTCATCTTAAGACCTATCCGTTGGGAGGCACTATTGAGGTCATTGAGTATAGTGCTTAAGGTTTACATTATTAATTTATTATAATTTAACCCTTCCCGCTTGGAAAAGGCTCACAATATATTTATACAAAATACCCGATACAAGGGCTTCGCTCTCCTATATTTATTTTAAAAATGTAGGGGAGGCATACGGCTCCACACACACCGTGCGCGTTGAGCGCCAACCATTTTGATGCACTCCCCCCGCAGGGAACGATAATTCGGAAACTGGACCGTAGTCCACAGCAAAATAACTGGCGAACAAGCAAAAGAGGGCTTGGCCCCTAGGTAGTGCGTAAGCACAAACATCGACCGAAGTCACGCATGTCAATGCGTGTAAACACCATACAGAATACGAACGAATCAAGTCACAGTAAATGTACGTCACACGGTTTAGGCAAATAGGCACAATGGCCGTTAACTCTCCGTGAGCGCCACCAACTGCCAGACCGCCGCTCCTGCAGACGTGATCTACCGCTCACCTCAAGGGAATGGGGTCCCACGTTGTGCGACTTGCGGCCGCAGCCTTGAGAGTCTCCTCAGATCCTCCCTCCAGCTACCATCCGCATGAGGTCGACACATATGCTCCACCAACCAATACAACCAAATACAGATTTGACAGAATGAGCGATTCACATAACCTAATGCGCATGTCCACTGTCAAATACTCTCTGATCTGGTACAAGACTTTGAGTCTATAGAAACAGTTACGAATGGTTTCTTGTACATGACCCTCAAAACGCAACCTTCCGTCCATAACGAGACCTAAGTTCCGAGCTTCCAACACACGTTCTAAAGGGGTAGTCTTGATGTTAATTTGCGGATTGAGTGAAAATATTATTTGTCTGGGTATGCGTTCCCAGTAACATATACTTCGATTTAATGGGGTTCAATACCAGATTATTTTAATCACACCAATCGGCTATGCGGTCCAAATCTGAGTTGATTTTTTATTACTATATTGGTGTCACTGGGTTTAAAATACATATATACAATTGAAGGTCATCAGCATATATATGATAACTACAATTTTTTTATGGTGTTCACTATATCTGAACAATACAATATAAAAAGTAAAGGCCCCGAAATGGATCCTTGAGGTACTCCTCTTGGAACTGGCAACGTGGTAAATATCCATTCTGATCCTTTGTCTTTATTTATTTAAAAAAATTATGTATAACTAGTGAGGTAACTTGCAAACCATTTTATTGTTAAATTATCAAATCCATAGTAAGCGAGTTTTGATAAGAGTAGAGTGGTGTTAATGGTATCAAAAGCTAGGGAAAAGTCAAGCAAAATTAACAGAGTACCCTCTCCAACATTTTGTGCAGTCAGAATATCATCCACTACATCCATCAGAGCGGTTAAAATACTACGAGACTTTCTAAATCCGGATTGCTTTTTAGGCAGGATATTATTAGCCTCAAGGTTCTCCGTAATCTGTGTACAGACTACTCTTTCCAGAATTTTAGACATAAAGGGCAAGATAATTATAGGGCGGAGATCCTTGTAGTCATTTGGATTGGACTTTTTGAGAATCGGTTTTACTAAAGCTATTTTCCATTGCCTTGGGAATACACCTGTTTCAATAGATTTGTTAATTATTTTGATAATAACTGTCAATGTTCGGAGTAAAGTTAATAATATCATGTTCAAAGTAATGCCATCATGACCTTGTGTATTTGTTTAAAAGATTTTATTATATTAAGGACAGTAGTTTCATTAAGTGTATTAAGATTAAAAGTGCTAGGCCCAAATCTATCAAATTCATAGCTAGTTAAATAAATGTTCTGACTTCATTATTGCCGAGGAGCTCAAGAAAATAATGATTTATATTATTTGGATTACTTATGTAATTTGAACTATCGACTCATTTATATGAGTCGATAGTTCGTTCGTTTTGTTTTATATTTTTCCATAAATTACGTGGTTTTTTTAATCGTATTAATATAATTATTAAAATATGCAGTTTTTTCATTGTGAATTGCCGTCCTTACAATGTTTTTTTTAATTCTTTGTAATATTGTTTATGAATATCAATCATCATCGCGTAATTTTATCATTTCTTTAACAGTACAGGTTATCCACGGAAAATAATGTTTTTATATACAACGATTTTAGACATATTATATAGGTCAAGTAAAAGTTAAAATTTTGCACCATTTTATCAACATCGCCATTTACAACACTTTCCCATTCTATAGAATTGAGATCTGAGACAATTTTTTCTATATCTATATTCCGTAATGGTCTGTAGGTATAGGTAGGTGGCGCATGTTTGATTTTATTAATATTGAGTTCACAAGTTAAAAATGCATGACTGCAAAGATCAGGAATATAATTAATTGATACCTTATAAAGAGTCATATTAGAACAAATTACATAAATCAATGTTTTACTATGATCTGTGAGGTGCGTCGGTTGCTTTACAGACTGAGTAAGATTCATGTAATTAAAGAAACTTTGCATCTTCTTAACATTAGTTTCCTGTATGTTAAGAAGATTTATGTTGAAATTACCGAGTAAGACAATATATTCGAAATTACCAAAAGAAGAAACGGATTCCGTGAGGGCATCAACAAAAATATCGACATTTACCCACGGGATACGTTAGGCCGTACCAATCGCTACTTTGATGCCGTTAATACTTAATCCTAGCCACATTTGTTCTACTAAGTTGCTAGAAGGGTGCAAAATTTTGCGAACGTTGACTCCAAGACTAACGTAAAATCCGACTCCACCACCACGTGCACGCAATTCGGTGGGACGCAGTACGTGAAGGAACCGATATCCCGTCGGTGAAAGTGCGTAGCCCCCTTCGCCCTCTCTTATCCACGTTTCGTTGATAGCCATTACGTCTACCTGATACCGTGACATTGCTACGAGAAACTCATCATGGCGGGTGCCTAGGGAGCCAGCGTTTAAGAAACCGATTGACAGTCTTTTCTTTACTAAAAATTAAAAAACAAATGCATAGACAATTTGAACGTACTTAGAGCATAGGATGAATTTACACTAAAGTGTTAAACATAATAAAGTATAAATCCCTATTAAGTAATGTAAATTTGTAGTATATATATTTCGTTGTATTAGTTGTGTGTAGAATGTGTAAAATGTCAAATCTAAATAACGCAAGTATATTTGGAACATAGTTTGGTTCGATGCTATACGTATAATGTGCGAACTAAATAAGTAAATATATAAAACTATTGACAAATAAGTATACGATTTTAAGTCTAAGAACATATTAATATTAAAACAAATAATTTTAAAATAAGCTATAACAAAAATAATAATAAAGAGGTTTTGAAGGTAAAATTACAAACTCACAATAACAAAAATAAAACATTACAACCATTAATAAAAAACATGAAATTAATAGTTCAAATCAAAAAATGAAAATAATGTTTAACACTTTAAGATTAAAACATTCAAAGAAATACAAATAGTAACTTATTAAAAATAAGTATACAGTTGATAGCGACCATAAATAATAATCAAATAAACTATTAATACGAAATACGAAATCGAAACTAAAGTAGATATTTTATTTTGAAATGGAATTGGCTTAAGAAAATATCAGTGCCATTATTTAGATTAAATTTAATTACATGAACCAACATTCTCAATGCCCAAAAACTTTAATGAAATCGTGCTTTGAACGTAAGCGTTGTCGTGGTTCTCCGTAATCTTTACGCACAAAAATTTTCCCTTCCCGAGTCCACGTGTACTTCCACTGGGCCCGCATGCATTCCACGCGTGCCTTGTAAAACAGTTGTCGATTAAATTCGGTCAATATTTCATTGATATGGAATGGAGATACGGCAGAATCGATTCCTAGGCCCTTTGTGGTAATGGCGCGACGGACGCGGGCCGCCGCTAGCAGACTGTCCGGTGCGGGCGGCGTGCCAGCCGCACCACTAAGTGACGGGGCCGTACACTACCGTTTTGATCCACTGCGCGCCGAATGGGCCCTGCACGCTCCGTATTCACAAGGTCTCGCTCCTCTAGAGTGACTCCCAACTTAGTAGCTACCGCCAGTATCAGATGAACAGATCGTTCGTTTTTTTCCTCTGGTATTCCCGAGATCTCAATGTCATTACACAGCAACTCTTGGTCTCGATCGTCGAGTTCCGCCTTCAAATCAGCAATTATGGTTCTAAATTACAGGTGTCATCTAATTTTCTACTGTTCTGATGACATTCCACGGCCTACACTCGAGTTTCGAGGCTGTCAAGTCGCTGGTTGCATCCGTTAATAGCCACAACAAGATTTGTGATGGTGCCCTTTAATTCCTGCATATTAATGCACATCTCCTTCAGCTCTTGTCGTAATAATCTTGGTTCAGTCGCCAATTCAGTGGACTCTATATCCGATGTAATTGAGGTACGTGCAGTTGGAACCGATAGACTCGGTTTATTGACACGACCACGTAAGGTGACATTCGTACAGCTGGAATCCATTAAATCCTGCTTAATAGGCGTGTTTGTGTTATCAGACTTCAGTTCCCTGCTTAAACATTCCTGAAATTTCCATTTTTGTTTATGTACTGTAGTCATGGTATTATAGAATAGTTTTTGACATACATTTGCGCATAGGAGGTCGTAATGCTTGGTGCAAACAATACTTTAAAAACTGCCGGCTAATAATTTCTTGTGAACATCCATTACAAAGGACTTTGTTCATAATTGGAGGCGCCATCCTTATCTTTGCAAGGGTAAACTCGAGTAGTAGTAGAGGTAGTTCAATTAGGCGGGCGAAAAATATTGAATATTGTGATTCTATGATTTATTTCTAGATGGCGCCGTTACACAGATCTTTAATTCCCTACGGGATGTAAGTAAATTTTAAATTATACTGAGTAGTCAGAAGATTGAGTATTAAAGTTACTAGGTATTTAAAGTACTGAACATAGTTATTAATAGTATAGTTTAGCCTAATTTCACTACGTCAACCGTCTTTTGAACTATTATATTAAAGGTAAAACTAGTATCTTGTCATAATACATTCAAACACAACGGTTTTAAAAATGATAAAAACTACTTTTACGGATTTTATCGCGTTTATTTTTACTTTTTATTTTTAATTCCCGACGTTTCGGGCGCTTTCCAGCACCCATGGTCACGGGGGGACTGAGATGACTGACGTCCCGATGTCATTGTTAAACCCGGAGTACCTTCAGCTTTTTTAATTATTGTTTATGGTCCGATCTATGCAAAATGAACTGACTATGTCTTGAGGTCTTGCAGTGGTATGCTTGGGTTTAGTTTTAATTTTATTGATTATAGGATCCCAAGCAGGTGGTAGTACCCAGCCTCCTTCTCTATTGAAATTAGGATGTTTTTTAATTTCAATAGCCTTACGTATCATCCTCGGTAGGAATCGGTGTTCTTTAGCGAGGATTTGTGGTCTATCAAATCTGATGTAATGGTTGGGGCCGTCTAGGATATGATCACAAACTGTAGACTTCCCGGAACGTTGATGCTTCACATCAGCTATATGTTCTTTTACGCGGGTCCTAATTGATCTTTTGGTTTGTCCTATATAAGAGAGACCACATTCACAATCAAGCTTGTACACTCCTGCATCTTGTAGAGGAATATGACACTTGACGGATGGTAGGAACTGACTAATCTTCTTCGGCGGCTTGTAGAATGTTCTAATAGAAGCTCGCTTCAAGATATAGCCAATCTTGTCTGTGACACCTCTGACATATGGTAGTACAGCAGGCACACGCTCGACTGTGGCCGGCTTCACTCGGTCACTGTAACGTAGGCGCGGGACCCGAAGCGAAGTCTTTTAAGTAAATCTTTGTTACAGAGAGCACGAGGGATCTGTGACAGCAAACACCTGGCCGCCGAGCTTCAGCAAGTCAAGCAAGTTCTGCACGACAACAAGCTTCGGGTCCCGCGCCTACGTCACAGTGACTGAGTGAAGCCGGCCACAGTCGAGCGTGTGCCTGCTGTACTACCATATGTCAGAGGTGTCACAGACAAGATTGGCTATATCTTGAAGCGAGCTTCTATTAGAACATTCTACAAGCCGCCGAAGAAGATTAGTCAGTTCCTACCATCCGTCAAGTGTCATATTCCTCTACAAGATGCAGGAGTGTACAAGCTTGATTGTGAATGTGGTCTCTCTTATATAGGACAAACCAAAAGATCAATTAGGACCCGCGTAAAAGAACATATAGCTGATGTGAAGCATCAACGTTCCGGGAAGTCTGCAGTTTGTGATCATATCCTAGACGGCCCCAACCATTACATCAGATTTGATAGACCACAAATCCTCGCGAAAGAACACCGATTCCTACCAAGGATGATACGTGAGGCTATTGAAATTAAAAAACATCCTAATTTCAATAGAGAAGGAGGCTGGGTACTACCACCTGCTTGGGATCCTATAATCAATAAAATTAAAACTAAACCCAAGCATACCACTGCAAGACCTCAAGACATAGTCAGTTCATTTTGCATAGATCGGACCATAAACAATAATTAAAAAAGCTGAAGGTACTCCGGGTTTAACAATGACATCGAGACGTCAGGCATATCAGTCCCCCGTGACCATGGGTGCTGGAAAGCGCCCGAAACGTCGGGAATTAAAAATAAAAAGTAAAAATAAACGCGATAAAATCCGTAAAAGTAGTTTTAATCATGTGCAATGTTCGCGTAAATATAAGAAATCATTAGGTTTTAAAAATCTTAAAAACTTTCATTCTCACACAATAATACACGCAGTAAGACGCTAGTGAACAAAACTCCACATATCATAGCGCTAATGTACTAAGACATGAAGTTGAGTATGCCTGTTACACTTAAAAGTGCTACCAAACACACTCATCCCAATCTGAAAGATAGACGACGCATCGCTATGCGCTACGACGCCTCCTACAAACGGTATGGGTGTGCGATGTCCACGGGAAAGCCATATTACTACAACAAACGCGCTTACCACCGGCACTAAGATGATACGTCTTGGACACATCGGTTTGCGAGTCCAAGTTTACCTGGGAACAATAGCTCGTGAAGCAGCATACACGCCACCATAATAATCTTTTTCAAGTCCCTTATATAGGACTAGTCATTTTGCTACAGTACTAAGAGCAGTCGGTTACCCGACCACCCCATACAATGCTTATGCATCAAGGAGACATACTATAATAATGCTTTTGTATCAAAGAACTTACTATTATAAGCCTTCAATATTTAGGACTTCAACCAACAACTCTACTATTGTAACGCTAATTAATCATAGAGACCTTCTATAGTATCGCTTTTTTATCAAAGATCTTACTATCATAAGTCATTAATATATAGGACTTCAACCCACAACCCTACTATTGTAGTGCAAATTCATCATAGAGACCTATAGTATTGCTTTTGTATCATAGACCATTATATTTATGTCTTTAAAATATGTGACTTCAACCCATAACTCCAGTATGCATCATGGAGACCTTTTATAATAGTGCTTTAGTATAATAGAGCTTACTATCATAAGTCCCTAATATAGGACTAGTCATTGTGCTACTGTACTTCAAGCAGTCGGACACCCGACCACCCCATATATATGTACAATATTGGGTATGCATCTCCGACAGCTCCTCCATACAAGCCATCTATACATGAAAACCCTCCATAACTTAGGTTAATTTTCTTTTATACACGATCTTCTCGATTAAGATAGATATTTTTTTTTACCAATTTTCCAATTATCTTATAAATGTAATCTATCTTAACATTTATAATACTTTCGACTTGTATTTACAATTATTTATCATGTTTTAAATATTTTTATTTGTCTAATGTCTGAAATGTATTCATCTTAACTTTATGCTTGCTAATGTTACTTTATTGTTTAATATAATATATCTTTTAAGACAATTTTTGATGTCCCCTGTTTACGCCCGATTGACTCGAGCGGGGTGAGGAAACGGTTAGCGTAGCGCGGGTGGTGGAGGCTTGCTGTGGCGTACGCGCACAGCAAGCGCGGCAGTTGGCATGAAGTCTTTGGACGCTGGGGCCGCGCCAGTTAAACGTCGGGCGTTACGTAATCTCCCGGGTTGATTTAGAGGTCGCGTTTGTTTTTGATACAATAACGGCGTGCGTATCGACGGCCTCCGAGTTGTTATTTTTTGTCGTTAAAATACGTGACAACGAGGCTTATTTCTTGAGTTTATTCGCGAGACGCCCGGGTCGATTATATATCGCGAGCCTCTTACAGTGTTATCTTAATTTGTTTCCGTGATAACGAGGCCTGAATCATATAATTGTTGTTGTAACTGCTTTAAGTATTATTTGTGACTGGCATACGGTTGCGCGCGGCAGGTGTTTTGACTTGAAGGCATAAAGCTTGTGTTAATTGTGCCCCCATTTTGAATTTACTATTGAATATTTGGGTATAGTCTAGACCGCCTCGAATTTAGTTGTCTGTTTTGTACGTGTTACGTTACAAGGACCTAATTTAAATTTGAAGTAAATTAAATGTACAATAAAGTGATAAACTAATATAGTGAAAATAGAAGCAGACGTTTTCAATTGGTGAACGCCCTCCTGGGCGGATCCCGCATTTGAAGAGAGGCAGCGCCTTGGGATCTGCAGTCCAAGATCAGCGGGGCTGTCAGGTTACATATTGTACACATTACTGCATACTACTGACATGCACCTCACTTATCACCTGACAGGTTACCCTGTTGTCAACCCTACCTCTGCCAATCGGTAAGTGGTGCTTGCTTCTTTGTCAGCCATTTTTAGAATCGTTATCCATAGGTCACTTGGGCTCCGCCCTTGGTTGCTCGTCGAGGGGACCACTCGTGGGCCCTGGTCCAGTCGACCTTTGTTGGGGCAACTAAGGGCGTGTACAATTTCTGGTAGAAGACCGTAGTTGATTGGTTTTGCAATCACACCCGGCCGTAATATAATAATATTTTTTTTTGTTTGTTCGCGGGTCGGTAGAATTTAGTGGCACGCCCGTTAAGTAGCATAAGTGGAGTGTAGTTTAGAGTTAGGTACCTACGCGTCAGTTATTCGTATTTGTATTTAGTATTTGCATTTGTATTGTTGATTAAATTGCCGAAGTGTCGGTTGCCTTAGCGTGGCATCTTGTTGACCGACTGTAGTGAGTACTTGCGGTAGTAATTGTGTTTAATTTAATTGATAGTAATTGTAATAATTAAATTAATTGTGTAGTTTAATTTGTATTTAATTTGATAAATAGTAATTTGTATTTGTAGTAATTTGTATTGAATTTAATTTGGTGGTATTGTGTTAGTGTATTGAGTAGGTTAGTGGTATTGAGTAGTGATGCCATCGCACAAGCCATCAGCGCTTCGCTTGCAGGCGGAGCTGCGCTGGGCTGCGAACACCCACAGCTTGATAGGGCGACCCGATCGGGTCCACAGTTTAGAGAAGCGGCTCGAGCAGGTCATGGCCCGAAGGGCCGTAGTAGAGGAGGCTTGCTCCGAGCTTATGGCCTCGAGAGGGGAACAGGGAGTCTTAGACTCCTGCCTCGTGGACTACGAGCAATTTTTTTCGCTCACGGACGACTTGATCGAGGC